TGAAGAAGCGGCAAGAAAAACAACAAAAACATGGCGGACAATGATGCGGAGAGCAGTATTTATGTTAAACCATCTTGAAAAGATTGTGTTTTTATGGTTGGGAAAGATCGCTAGATGCGCTCCGGCACTACCATCCATGTTTACTTCCATAAACACAGAGCACGCTGGCCTGTCACGACATTGCGTCCTCTACTGCGCATTCGGGACACTTGCGTTGTATGACTGCAGTTCACACAGGAGATCACATACAAGTTGCATATAGTTAGAAATGTGAACGGCAACGCAAAAAAAATAATCAGATTTCACAAAAAAATAGAAAATTTAGCATCAAGGCCTTCAGTGTGAACATAGCCTTTGATTAAATCAGATCAAAGGGCAGAAATAGATGATGTAACTTTCTATCTGCCTTTATTTCATACATCCATCTAAACATGCATCATGTCACATCATTTAACAGCGCTCCATTTTCTACACATAAAAACTTTGTGTAGAAGGAGCATATGGAGATTTTTTTTATTTATTTATTTATTTATTGGGTTTATTTGTAGTTTATGAGCAAAGCAAAGGATTTGATCATTGTTGGGTTTTTCCTTAAGGAAAGGACATAAAAACAACCAAAAGAGGGCTTATGTAACTAGATCATAGAGCTGAATTGCATAGCTGTCTTGATCGCTTACTCATCCTTAAAAAAATACTTTTGTATCACCATATAATCCTTTAAATTTAAAAACCTGACTCCTTTTTCTATGTTGTTCACTCCTTATACACATAAAAACCAAACACAGGGTTTCCATGGGTCATTAAAAATCATTAAAAGTCATTAAATTATTTTTAAAATTATAGCCTTAATTGGCATTAAAATTCATTAAATGTGATTATTGTGGCATTTAAAATGTAAAAATGAAATAAAAAACATTTCTAAAAAAAGTTTCGTCAGGTATATTATATCAGATATAACTTGTTTGCATAGAACTGTTTGTGATTAATCATAAATCCATGTTTTGAAAAGAAGCTCAAGGCGGAGAAAAAGGCATCGAATAGGAAAATGCTAATTTCAACAAAAGTGGCTATATGTATATGTATATATATATATATATATGTATATGTATTATATGAAAGTCATGGGTACTTGTTGATGGCATTAAAATTATTTATAAGAGCATTAAAATAGCATTAAATTAGTTACTCTTTCCTGGATAAACCCTGAAACAGTTTCTCATGTGAATAAACATCAGCTTAAATTAGTTATTTAGGACACAGAGATATGATGGCGAATTGCCCTGGGTCTATGCACAGCTCAGCCATAAATCAAGCAGAGTATTAGATAATGGACAGCAGAGATTAGAAAAGACAGATCTTGATGTTTCCGATTGGTCCAGCTGAGTGAGCCTAAACCTGACCCTGCTGGATACTTTCTTTCTTGAATGAAAGTACACTTTGAAAAAAAAAAAAAGAAGAATAGTTAACAGAACTTAGAATTGAAAAGAGACAAACTTTAGGTTTTGGACTTTTACTTAACAACATAACATTAACTTAACAAGTGAAGTTTTTCTTTTGAATAAGCTAAAATGGGAAAAAAATACCCAAAATTGCACCTGTCAAGTTTTGTTTTAATGCATATTGCACATTTTCTGTTAGTCCAATAAACCTCAATTCAATACTGAAATATTTCTGTGTCCATTAGTTATTAGATATACCAAACTGAAATAGCTTTTGCAAACACCCAAATATTTGAAATAAAAATAATTAAGATCAATAGGAGACCCCAAACTTTTTCATATGACTGTATGGCACAATTCAGTATACAATTCAAAGTGCTTTAAACTAGTGAACCAAGAAATAGATGTAAAATAAAAGAAAAGTAAAAGCAAATAAAGATTAAAGCATGATATAAGCAGGACATAAATGCCTAAAAATACTTGGACCACAACCTTAAACTAACAATACATCAGATAACAGTTTCATTTAAACAGTCAAAGGCAGCTCTAAACAAATGGGTTTTGTAACTTTGACTGAAAAGAATTCAGGTTTTCATCACTTTTACAGTCTTCTAGTAGTTTGTTCCAGATAAATGGAGCATAGGAAGTAAATGCTGCTTCTCAATGTTTGGTTCTAGTTCATGCTGTGCAGAGTAGGCTTGAACTAGAAGCAACGCTTTGGATCAGCTGCAGCTGTCTGGAATTTTTACGTGAGGCTATGCACGAGAGGCTCTGCACAAGAGGCTATGCACGCGAGGCTATGACACTGTTGCAATATCCAATTATACTAAAGATAAATGCATGCATGAAAAGATGCATGAATTTTCTAGATTTCAGGCTTGGACATTAGTCCTTTAATCCTTTTTATGTTCTTCGGGTGATAAAAGGCTGACTTAGTAACTGCTTTTATATACCCCTAAGAGGNAAATACTTGGACCACAACCTTAAACTAACAATACATCAGATAACAGTTTAATTTAAACAGTCAAAGGCAGCTCTAAACAAATGGGTTTTGTAACTTTGACTGAAAAGAATTCAGGTTTTCAGCACTTTTACAGTCTTCTGGTAGTTTGTTCCAGATAAATGGAGCATAGGAAGTAAATGCTGCTTCTCAATGTTTGGTTCTAGTTCATGCTGTGCAGAGTAGGCTGGAACTAGAAGCAACGCTTTGGATCAGCTGCAGCTGTCTGGAATTTTTACGTTAGGCTATGCACGAGAGGCTATGTAGACACTGTAGCAGTGATCAATTCTACTAAAGATAAATGCATGCATGAATAGATGCATGAATTTTCTAGATCCTGCTTGGACATTAGTCCTTTAATCCTTTTTATGTTCTTCAGGTGATAAAAGGTTGGTTTAGTAACTGCTTTTATCTACTACTAAGAGGCATATAAATTCAAAAACTAACTTCAGACATTTGTTTTTTCCCCCCACAATTCACAATAAAATAACCAAAGTTAACAGAATTTTCACTTGTTGAAATAAATTACAACTGAAAGGTAGTAATGACAGCTCACTTGATCACATTAATGCTTACGACTGCCTTGATTTTCTGAAATTAATTTAAATTCTGTTTATTTATATAGAACCAATTAACATCACCTGTCATCTCAAGGCTGAGACAAATCAATGAGATCATACAGTCATATTGGTTCAAAGTTTTTTTATCTAAGGAAAAACAGACTCATTAACTCTATAGCAATGCCTCATACTTAAGCATGCATGCAGCAACAGTGGAGAGGAAAAACTCTTTTAACAGAAACAAACCAGGTTCAGTGTGAGGTACCTTCTTCTGAGGTAGACTGTCTAAAGTAGCTCAACATGTGGATTTAAATAGGAAAGACACAGTTAAACAGATGTGCTCTGAGCCAGTATTTGTCAGAGGGATGAAAGAGAGCACAGTTAGTCACAGTCAAAGATTTTCCCTTAGCTTTGCCTATGAGAGAGAGAACGTGGAAAAAATGGAAATCTAGATAAGTAATTTTTGTCTTAAAATAAATAAGAGACATTTTGCCAATGGAACAAGACAATTTACACTTAATATAAGAAAACACAATTGCATTGTTTTATGTCAAGTGCATATTATCTAATTATCTTATTTTAAGGGTAAAAATACTCATTCCATTGGAAAACTTTCTCATTTACCTGGTCAAATTAAGGATAAATACGCTTAATTTAAAAAAATTTTTTACTTACAGTATTTCTAGATTGTTTTTCCAGTGAAGCAGGACTAAACACTGAAAAAAAGATTACCTCTATCATCTATAATCAGAGGGGTTTGTGGTAGAGCACAGCTGACATTTTTCTCCAGCATAGTGTCACAGCCAAACAGGAACAGACCAGATGAAGCCATGATGACAAGAAAAAGCAGAGCAAATAGAAAGTTAGAGGTTGAATTAAGGAATATGGAATGAAGCAGAATGATGAAAAGGGGTCCTTATGTCCTCCAGCAGCCTAAGCCTATAGCAGCATAACCATATAGATAGCTCCGGATAACCTGAGCCGCTCTAACTATAAACTATGTCACAAAGGAAAGATTTAGGCCTAGTCTTAAAAGTAGACAGGGTGTCTGCTTCACAGACTAAAACTGGTAGTTGTTTCCACAGGAGAGGAGCCTGATAATTAAAAGATCTGCCTGCCATTCTTCTTTTAGAAAAACTAGGAAGCACTAGTAAGCGTCTTGACTCAGAGTGAAGTGCTCTGTTAGGATCATAGGGAACAATCAGGTCTACCATATGAGCTAGAGCTTGGTTATTTGGGGCTTTAAGAGGAGGATTTTAAAGTGAATAATGATGGATGTTTAAATTCCAAAGTATCTAACACTGAATAATGCACTGGCTTGAATCTAGTTAATGAAACTCTTCCTTTCTTTGCAGGAAGCAGGCTTCATAGGATTCATGCGTAACCTCAGAGGTCGAGACCAGGAGAAGGTTGGGAAGAGGAAGGAGGAGCTCTGAGGGTGTAAAAAGAGGGCGATGCACTATGACCCTTGAGTCTGGCAAGGGCCCCTTTCAGCACTGAATTGGGAGACTCAATGACCTCAGCGAAAGGCTATTTTTTATACCTTGGTGATCTCATTTTTAATGATACCAACAGAGTACTGACCAACCACTTGAGACTTCTTTTTATGGATATTTTTGATGGGCACAAAATCGATTTAAAAAAAGTGTTGATTTCTTTCTCTGTTCTTTTTTTTTGTTTGTTTGTTTTTTTGCCCAATCACTGTGACTTGAACATGTTTAAAGCTACACGCTATATTGTATCTATGCAAAAGTGACCCCTGCTTATGCCTGTAGGGGTCTGTGTGATCAAACTATGGTGGAGGCTGGTGGCCGATTGAATAGGATGAACTCTGAGGCTGCATCTTCCATCGCTGCACGAGGGGTTTTCATCCGATCCTATCAACCTTGCTCTCTCTTTAAATATTAATCACGCTGATCTTTTTTTCTTCTTCTTTTTTATTATTCTTCACCATATTCAGTGTATTGCCCTCTTTCTCAGATCACTTAGAATAAATTAGTCTTGAATTTCCATTTAACATTAATTTTGTGTCCCTGCTTGGTGTGGTTCAGGATAGTGGTGGGAGTGCTGGAGTCGATCCCAGCTTTCATCAGGTTGGGTTCTTCCCATGACAGATTCCCAGCTCTAAGCAGGGCCAACAGACTGACATCTAAGGCAGGCCTCAGCTGAGATATAAATTAGTTATAAAAAGGCTCCTTATTGACCTTTTACATAAGCCGCCATAGAATCTTCAAGCTTGTAAAGCAAAATGTGAAGCTGTGTAATCGGTAATAAGGGAATGTTGGAACACTGGATTAGAGGGTCAGTGTTCTGTCTGTCTGAAAAACATATCTTAGAAAGTTTAAAGTTAAAATCTGTGGCCTTTGAAAAATGAAAAAACTGAAGCTGCAAAATGATAGGAGAGAGTTAGTGGGCTCGGTGGCCTTGCTACTCCCCCATGACTAGAAGCTGTCCAAGTAAAAACCAGAAAGAAATGAAAATAAGCATCTCTTTATCACAAACTGGTATTTTATTGCTTGGTTCTTTGTTTCCAATATTTTAACTAGGAGGGCCGATCGGTTTGAGGGTTCAATCACCAGTTACTGTTCCTTGCAGAAGTATTCACACCCATTAAACATTTACAGATTTTCTCAGTTACAACCTCAACATTCAGTGTATTTTTTTGCTTTTTGTAGAATGGACCAACACAGATGCTTTGTGCCAAGTGGAAGGAAAGTGATATAAATCTGAGAGACACTAGATTCCAACTAGAGACTCGATTCTTCAGTTTGTTTTTCTCCCAAATAGTTTACACGTTGTGAAAAAAGTTTAAGGTTCTTATATTTTGTCTGTTGCAGCGCCTGTATGTTTTTTAACGCTGACCAGCTTTGCTCTCCCTATAGAGAAGATCCCCACAGCCCAATGCTGCCACCGCCGTGTTTCATTATGGACGCTGCCAACTTTATTCCTGTTAAACATGTTAGGTGTGCAATAGATTTTATTTAGGGACATCAGATTAGGGGTGGTTGAATTTATATATTCTTGCTAAAAAAAAATTCTTTTTTTTTTTCCAAATTGTGTATCAAACGACTTCTCAACAGTTGGTCCTGAGCATAAAAAGGTTTGAGGTTGTAGCTGAAGTAATGATGTAAAAGGGTAGGAATGTTTGCAAGTTAGCAAGCTTTCATGTTATCCCCTGTAGTTTTTGCGTACCTGGACCTCCTACTTAAACTGTAGTCAGGTTTTATATCAGGGTGTCCAGCTTTCTCCACATGTCCCGGCTGCTTTTACCGCCTCATGTTTTAAACATCAGCCCTCCTCATGTCCCCACAGTCCATATCCTCCTTCGCTTCTTTCATTGCACTTAGCTCCAGCAGTGATCCCTTACGCCTCCACGCGCTCCTCCCACCTCTTGCTGCATAACGGCATCAAATTTTGATCCATCATTAATACATTTCCCCCCCAGCACCTTGATTTTTTTTTTCCTCCCTTGGCATTTAAACTCTTGTCCGTTGCTTCACTTGTTTATTAATCAAAACCTTTTATTTTATTATGAATAAGGTTCTCAGGGATAGTGTAACGCAGTTAAAGGGAATGCATTTATTTCATTCCAGCTGGATCATTCTGAGCCCTTAGGCCACCGTATGAAATATTGCTCACGTCTGTATCTCCAAAACTCACCTATTTCTTTTCTCTTACTCTTCCTTCACGAATCGATCAAGGCTTGTTGTAAGCAGAGGTTACTGAACCCTTTATTGTAAAACAATATTTTTTAATAACTTGTTCCAGAGGAAAGCTCTTCTGGCTGGAACCAAACACCTTTTCTATCCCGTGCTCCTTTGTAATTTCGTTGCTTGCGAGAACAATGAGTGTTTTATTCAGTGGGGTGTAAGGTGACGTGTTGCTGTAATTAAGGTGGTATCCTCATCTCATTAAGCAGCAACTGCCTTTCATTAGTCTTTCTATCGGTTTATGTTTAGCAGCTGCCACACTGAGGTTGTGAATCATTGAACAATAAAGGTTTCTTCCCTTATTCCAAAGGTATTCGTGTTCTGTGGGCATTTTTACAATGTATACCAATGCCAAGAAGTCGTTGTTGCCTTTGTTTTTGTTTTGTTTTTCTGTGCCCAGCCATATGTACAGATTTAACCCTTGCATCAAGAAAGTAAAATAAAACCAAACATTTCCAACATTTCTTTTTTATTATTGCTTTATTTCAGCTTTTTATGCAACAAATAATTTGTTTGCAAAGCATCTGCAAGATTTTCACATTTTTAGGGTTATTTTGATATTTTAACAAATTCCAAATTAGATCTATCTAGTTTATTTCTACAAGAAATGTACTTCTACAAGAATGTATTTGGAATTACAGTAAAGTTTTGCCTTTTATGGCATCTATTCTTAATAAGTACAGTTATTTAAAAATAAAAATTACATTTGCTTATTTGTTTTTAAGATACACTTGCAGAGAGGATTTTATGATGGCCTCTAAAAGTATCAATAGTAATGCTGTTACTGGTGTAAGAAGAGTTTTATGATCTACAGATATCCAGCATTAAATTAAAAGTCAAATGTGGATCGATTCATCCCTATCTAAAATCATTCTATAAGTATTTATGGAACTGCTGGAAAATATGGGATTGAAATTTAGTGCAGCTGCAAAGAAAGCAAAGTGAAAATGGAGGTCCTGATTGTGGAAGTTGTCTTAGCTTTTAGTTTTTTTCTTTCCTTTAAAACTCAGAATTGGAGGAAATTGACCAGAAGCTTCAGCTTCGAGGGTCTGTTGCTGAAGGATTCACAACCTAGTTTATGTATCTTTAGTTTCATCCACCTTCCCCGCAGCATGATGCTGCCATCGCCATCTTTCACAGTGGAGATTTTGTATTCACACATGAAAAATAACTCGATCTATAATTTTTCAGCGTATGTGACTTTTGTTTTTGTTTTTTTGAAACAGCAAAAGCCTTACTAACTGAATTCAAGTTTTGTAAAGCAAGAACACTTGAAAACTTGATGTTTTCTGCTTAGAGGCTCCAAATGGACTTCACAGGTTTGTTTTGTTTGTAGTTTGGGTCGGTCCTGCTTAAGGTTCTGTTCTCAGAACGTGCCTTTATGCACAAATGGAAAAAAACAAAACAAAAAAAACACCTGATCCAAATTTTACTTTCATGTTTCTAAGTGTCACTTTTTATTTTATCGCAAGGGGAACATCAAATTTTGATATTAAATGGTTAAAAAAAGTAACTAGATCTGCATATGGACCAAAAAATGTAGACCACTTGGATGTCTGAGCTGCTGATTTTTTTTTTTTTTTTTTCCCGCATACAAAGAGAGGTTGCTTCACTGCAGGTTCTGAGATGCAGGTAGAAAGGAAAATGATCACAACATAAAGGTTGTTTTACTATCCATGTATCAAAGTACATATACCTAACCTTCATGTCATAACCAACCCAAAAACTCTCCTAAGAATGCATCTAGTTTACTAATGCACATTTGGATTCAAAATGGTAGAAATTCATATTATTATTACATTTTAACAAAAAAAAAAAGATGTTCTTGAAGTATTTGACCTGATAATCAAATCAAATAAAAGTGTTCCATGTCCTTGTACAAGTTTAATTAATGCCGCCACCATGCTTCTCTTGAACGGTAGGTAGGAGAGTTGTGTTCAGTATTGGTCTTTAATTCCTCTTGTCTTTTATTTTCTATTTTGAGCTTCCATCATTTGTCTTTTTCTTACTGATTGTTTTCCAACAGAAGGAGGTGCTGCAGAAATTGTCACATTGAAGATTACAAAAAAATATTAAACTGAGACTCCTGAGAAAAAAGTTTCACAGCAGAGCACGTTGGCTTTGTAAAGCACACCGAAGAGATTAAATTACTGTAATTGGAATTCATTTGCAAATACCTACAGTCTATAATTCTTTTAACCAACTGCTGACTTCTGTTTTCTTCTTGAGATAAACTGCAAACATCCTGTTTGCAGTTTATCTCATTGGGATGTTTTTTTTTTTCTTGAATGCATACTTTTATGAGAAGATGTCTTTCTTGTGGAAGCTGAATGTTTACCGCCATTTCATTTTGTTTGTTCGCTCTCCAAATTTTTTATCCAGCTGACCGGAACCGATGTTTGTTTTTAACCACTCACTGAAAAGTTTGAAATCCACTCTTTCAACAGCTGAATCGGTTGCAAAATGAGATTTAAAAGTGTTTATATCCAGATTCCAGAAAGGACATTTTTTGTTTATTCTAGGTTTGCTCTCAAAAGCCGGAATGTTAAATGTTTCCTTTTCTTTTATTAAAGCGATTGCTTCACTGTTTTATCATTGAGCTTCAAGAATGTTCTTTTGTGCCTCAGATGCTGCTTTGATAAACACTTTGGATAGACAAAGTCATTCTATACTTTTCATTAATTCTTTGCACCAAAATCGCTTTTAGCCTTTAAAACATTATGAAGGGAATTTGAAAATGTTGCTCTCCTCTCCATCAGTGATGCAGTGAATGCTGGTTGTTTTTCACTAAACATCTTATTTGTCAAGGTATTAAACTGTCTGATTTTTTTGTCAATGTTTTAATTACAGACTTTTTAAAAGGTAAAAAGGGAAGTCTAAAAAAAAAAAAGGTAAATGAAAATTTCTCCACAAACATTCGCCGACTACATTCCTTCCAATATTACGGAGTGTTGTTGACATGAGATTATGGGTCAAATGAGTTTTCCTTTTCTTCTATGAAGCTGAACTCTGAAATGGTCCTTGCAATGCTGGCCTTCATGACGAAATATAAGGGCTGCAGAGTTTTCGGTCCAGCTATTTTGAATTATTCTCATATTTTCTTGTACTGAGAGGAAAAGTGATGAATCCAGAAGGACAATATCAGACAAAGAACTCCACACTTTTATATATTTTTAAATTTCAGGTGGTTTTGAAGTTAGATTCTATTTTTCTATCAGCAGTCCCCATCTTATGCAATTAATCATGCTTTTCAGCTGTCTTAGAATTTCACAGATAATTCAGTTGTTATAGGGAGAAGATTCTACAACTCAGTTAATAGGGCATGAGATTACTTGTTTTTGGTTTGTTTAATATGAGCGAGATGCGGATCATTTTATTTTGTTATATTTATAGTACAGGATGAACTACTGAAATTATTTTCAGATTACACATAAACTGATTCATTCATTCCACAGGTTGAAAGGAATAACTTTCGGGTTAGGATTAGGATTCACTCAATGTTAACAACCTAATGAGCCTACTGGCACAATCTGAAGCCATTCTATGCGATTGATAGCCGCTAATGACAACCATTTATTGGGATGATAACATCCGAAGAGTGGCTGCAAACAGCCACTTAGTATTTACTGTGTAAAAA